CATCCAGTCAAAAGCGCGTATGCATGGCTTGCTAAAGAGTCGAGAGGTGATCAACGCTACGCTTCTTCACCACGACCACTGAAATTCCACTACAGAAATGCGAATTCCAAAATTTTTCAAACGTTTCAAATGCTCTGCTTCTTCGACCTATTGCCCGGGAAATCTTTTTGATATGGTTTGAACAAAATTCTGAATATACAAAAAATAAGTTATAGAAAATCATGCAATTATCCATGCAGCAGTAAATGGTGATATGAATCAAAATGCTGCTGAAAGTTTTTTGTGATTGTTTATTCGTTCTTGCAATATTGTTCAATGAACTGGTTCTGTTTACTTCGGTTCAATTAAGTGACGAGGAATGAACGTTTTGTGTGTATGTGAAACGTTTTGTGAATTCGTGATATGATGACTGGCGATTTTTTCTGTCATTTTTTTTTCTGGAATACTCGAATTGAGATTGGAAATTTTGAAGCACCGAGCGAATTAACAGCATCAATCAACGCTCATGTGAGAAATCAAGATTTTGAAAGGAGCGACGATCCAATTGCAAATCAAGCTTTTCGATGACGATGGGTACTTGTTGTTGATCAGCAGCCGTTGAATGATATCGGACGAGTGTTTCTGCTTCTGCTTAGTGCACATTCAACTCACCAGAATTGATGGCGAACAGTTTTAGTGTTATTTTGTTGCATATCTTGAAATGATTTAAATTCAATTCAAATTCACATAACGAGTTCTCGAAATCAGTAGTCACATCTCTAGGTGAATCTATATGAAATAGATAGAAGAAATGTGCATTTTCTCTCTCTGTGTTGCAATGAATGAATGAATCAAGTGAACAAGAAAATATAACGCATCAATTAGCAGCAGCAGCAGCACAAAAGAAAAATGCCCCCGTCCATGCTATGTGCTGCTCACTTTGAAGACGATTGAGAACGAGAATGGGTTGAGTTGGGTTGAGCCGAACCAACCGACGAGCCAAACCAAAGCAAGCGAACGAGCTGCGCACGAGCATTTTTCTCAATCAAATCGCTCAAACAGGTTTACTCATCATCATCATCATCATAATCCAAATCACCATTATTATTCTAATTATTGTTCTTCTTATATTGCTATTGCTATTGCTATTGCTTTGTTGATACTCTAGATTTTTTTATTCGTTCGTTCTTTTTTTTTTCGCATTTCTTAAACATCTTAACATCTCTTCTATTCATGGTAACATATCACATCGTTTTTTTTGTAATCTTGATCATATCAAGCCACATCTATCTATCTATCTATCTCGCATCATCACAATCGTCGAATATTGATGCACTTAAATGCGCTTATGCACAGCTTCCAAGCTGTTCACTTCAGTATGAAGAAGTACTCGTTCAGTGGACGACTATCTCGTTGCATTTGATCTCGTTCAGTTTATCGCGTTTTTCTGCTATTGCAACTGAAATACGTGTTGTTGCGCGATTGACTTCAATATCAGAGAATATTCATTCTCTCGTTAATGAATGCATGATAGCTGACTGAGTATAGTGATATTAAAATCGAGGACTGAGGAGATTTGCTTTTACGCTGGCTGCTAAATGCAAATGTCCATTTATTTGCTTCATCTGAAGCGTGATAAAGGCAGACAGAAATGCTCTCCAAAACAAACAAAACTTTCATCGACCTGAGGGGAAATTCGAACCTCAGGGAAATCCGAGAGCTTATCTCGAACTTGCTTTCCAAACGTTATAATGGCTTGTCCTATTAAAGCAATCTATGACTCTACATTATTGGTAGCCCCCGTATAATAGGCTGGTTGAGTTGTTGACTTGAGAATCAAGAAAACAAATATA